TATCGATTCTGCATAACGATCTGTTTATATACACTGAGGCGCCTATCGACCAGCGCCTTGCACAACCATTCTAAGAAAATCGACACGAGCTGCGTTGACAGACTGGTTATGTTGAATTCCTATGTCTGAGCAAAGGTTTGTTCTAAATTAAACATATTTGAGTTCCTCGTGTACAAAAATGGCTGACTAACTTATCTTTGCCTTGTCAACAGCGTAACTGCCGTGGTCCTAAAAGCACGAATGGAAAACTGTATTCCAAATAGACTGATATTTTGACCTCGATGTTTATTCAATAGGTACTATTATGCAGGCGGTCTTAATGTTTCGAAGGTATTTAGGCACCCGCAGAAAACCATGAATTGTGTCGAAGATGTCAAAAAATATTAAAAAAGAAAGATTTTTGAGAATCAAGTCTCGGAGTTTAGGGGCTGCTTCTTGTGGAAAGTTTTATAGGAAGATCCGTTCTTGAAAGAAAATAATACAGTTTTATTCGATCTTCAAGTAACGTGCGGTTCATTCATTAAATTTGCACGAAATCCGGTAATCGACTAATTTCGGAGTTGTATAGTCCGCGTGGGACATAACTTACTCATTGTGTCTACACGTCGTTACAAACCTGTCTAGAGATTTGATCATTGTCGTAGACTGACATTTATAGAGCGGTATAATCCATAATGGTTGCGGATTGATCAACATTATCACGAATATATATTTATTATCACAGTATATACACAAACGTATTTAAAATGTTGTTGTTAAAATTTATATAACACTATAACATCTGTAGTATAAAATATTACAATAAGTTATATTATGTTATATTATGGCGCTTTTATCGTAGTATGATGTTACATTTATTATGGGAAACATGTCGTGCAATTAATAATAAGCGCCATAATAAATGTAACACCATACTACGATAAAAGCGCCATAATATAACATAATATAACTTATTGTAATATTTTATACTACAGATGTTATAGTGTTATATAAATTTTAACAACAACATTTTAAATACGTTTGTGTATAGACTGTGATAATAAATATATATTTGGTTTCAACACAAACATGACGCACTTAAGCTACAAATTATCACGAATATTGCATAGTATGAGAACAAGAAATACAGTGTAAATAGAAGTGTAATTACGTCACATTTTAATCACTGATTTGTGGCTGATGTGATGAATGCAAAGACGTAATTCACACACCAGAACTAGCGGTGTCGCTAATGACCGAAAGTCCTGTGATGGAACTCGGAATAAGCCAGATGCGTCGCTATGCTCAGCGAGACATCGCCGAAATTACGTTCCCACCTACTTTGGATTCTTCATATGTTACGATAACTCAAGCGTTTCAAAAATGTCTAATCACCAGTTACAGGTTCGTCTTGAGTCCGTGGCTGAAAAACTGGGACAATTAATTTACCATTAATATAAAAAAAATTAGGACCGGAAAGTGAACTTCGACGACAGTGTCCAAAAGTCAAGTTCCATTTCCCTCTGGGCTTGTTCATTTATCGTCTTACCCCCTGCTCTAGGGCCTAAAATAATCACTAAGATGGTTCCCGTCGTTGACAAACGAAAATAGCAACAGAGAAACGTCGAATTCGCTTGTTTATTAAACGTATCGCATGTCCAGCAGCGCTGCCGATGCACTCTGCCGGCCGTTTTCGAAAGTATCCCTGGATTTTCGGTTCGTGTGAAACGGTCCACGGCCCAGGACACTCTTACTAAATTTTTGCGTAAATGTGTTGAGTAACACGTGAGGCCAGATGGGCTTCGTGTCGTTGCGAAACTGTCACAGCAGCGAAGTGCTGACATGGTATTGGGCCCCAGGAATGCGCTGACGGTGAACGTTCCGGGCGAGTGACGCGTTCCGTCATACGAACACGACTGGGACCTGACGTGCGTCATAGCGGCATTAAACATGCGTCAAATGTGACTGTGGTCTATCACAAGGCAGGAAACGAACCCATGACAGAGACTGAGTGTCTGTCCGCATGCTTGACTGATAGAAACACTGAACGGATTTCGATCAAATTTGGTGGGTGCGGGCGGTCTACGTAAACAGTTCTCTTCCTGATTTAATTTTGTTTCGTGTCGGTGAAATGTGGGCGTAACCTGAGATTCACATAAATTTAACGAAAAACAGAAGGTTCAGAAACTTTATGAAATGAAAGAATTTACGTCATAGAGCTGTAAACAACTCAAATTAGCGACACTGCAGTTTTAATCACATTAAAAGTAAATTAATAGTAATGTAATCTTCCATAAAAATTGCACAACAGATAACAAACTGCTCGTTCAATGTTTCTGTAAGAAATGCAGCAACTTCGAAGCGTGTTTAGAAACACGCCATCTGCGTTGTACTTTACGGAAGCCATTTTGATGTTGCGCGGCAGAATCCTGAAATGGCTGACCTCGTGATAGAATTTAAGGTTATGGCATCCTGGCGAATGGTCTGTAGTTTGCATTTTTTTGCACTGTGTTAATTTATTTGGGGTTCGTTAAACAACGCTATCCTAAGTTCAGATTATATTGCGTCGAATGATAGTGGAATGGATGTGGAAGGAAGCGGTCATGACCTCATTAAAGGCACCACTCTGAAACCACGAAATGCCTCAGTCAGGTGGCCGGTCTTCGGATTGAGATCTGAACGTGTTATTAATTATTGATATTTGTGTCATCGCTTTAAACTGAGATGCGGGAGAGAACTCGAGTAAACCCGGGGTAAAGGAGGAAAAGGTACGAAAGGGATCAAGGACAGAAAGACGGAGAGGGCGCGATAAGCAGTAATCCTAATTTATCTTTATACTTACACGGGCTTTGTGTACTAGAATTCTGATATTCAGTGATCAAAAATATTTGAGTGGTGTTAAGAGATAAAACTTAGGAATGGCGTTCCATTTGTATCAGGTTCCAGCCACTGCTTGTCCTTTTCGTGGTTTTCCTCCGCTGTCTGTTCAAATGTGGAGCTTTCTCCCCTTTCACCATACCTACCCGCCATTTTGCAAAGACACTAGATGAATATTTTGGTCTTCACAGTTGGCTGCAAAATTCAGGCCACTTAATTAATTCATTTCCGACTGTAGTGACAGTTCTTGGTGACACATCATGAGCTTGCTTTATTGTTAAGTTTGTTTATTTATTTATAATTTATTGTCACGTGTAGATCTGTCAGTCAACTCTGTTAATTTGATTCCTAAATTAAGTTTCAATTAAAAATTTCGTACTTTTTTTGTGAAATTGAAAACTGAAGACGAGTGTATTTTGGGAAGTTGTGTCGCGTAGTACGGAGGCAGCAAGCACCTCTGAAACGTCTGAAACTTCTACCAAACTACACGGTGGAACATCCTAAGAGACGATCATCTTCATGCTCACCGCCCTGAGAACCTGAATTCTCACCAAATTGGAAATTATTCGTAAACTATATACAGCTGGCGAAAATAAGAAAATCCTCAATTTAAATTTTCAAAATTGGAATGTTCCTGTCATTCAGGGCATTATATTTGGGCGACTAAACATTTTAGAATTTTTAGGAGATATTAGTGAGTTACGATTGCATGAAATTTGTCAGTTATTTAACTCCATTGTTGCGTCGACTGATAATTTTAAATGATTACATTTCAACAAACTCAAATGTAATAATCCGTCAATGCATGTGGCAAAACTGGCAATAATTAATAATTACGGAATTCAGCTATTCAATAAATACTTCGATATGTGACAAGTTTCGAACATTTGGGAGCGGATATAATAAATTATAATTATATTCATAATAGAATGAAGGGCAGAGTAAATTCGGAGAATGCTTGTCATTTTTGGGTTCAGAATCTTACGTCTTCCTGGTTGCTGTATAAAAAATGTAAAGAGGGACTTCGTAATTTCGTCTCTTCGCCAAGTGTGATTAAGGATAAACAAATAAAATCAAGGAGGTGACGTAGGAGGTAGGGGAGAATGCATGGGGAACATAAGAAATCCTTACACAATTTTTGTCGGAAAGCCTGAAGGCAAATTGTTACTCGGAAGGCTGGGGCAACGACTATCAGCTTCTCAAAAAAAAGTTTCTATTTTATGGAGTTACATTAGCCAGTAACCTGTTTCTGTCATATGCAGGTCTACCCCTGAATTCTCCAATAAGCCTGTGTTACACTTCTTAAAAGTCACTCCACCTTCGAATTTTGCACGACCTTCATCGTGTGTTCCAGCTATCACAGAGTTCGTGAAGGCCATGGAGTCGTTGCCACTTTGCATTCTTTGCCGTCTCGAATTTGCCCCCTTCCCCTGCTTTTCATGGCTTGTTACGGGTATATTTACACGGAAGGAACAAACTGAAATGAAATATGTTTTGTCGTAAGCTCAGTTTTCTCTTTAATTCTACAAATTCTTGTACTAGAAACTCGCAATACAACATCAGATGAAATACGTATGGCATTGCTCTCCATTCGTAGTTGTAGTTTCATATTGTTCATGTAGATGGCGTTGCTGCGAGTTTCGATACACACTAACCATGGATGCCCGAACTACTTCACTAACCTCAATTCTAACTCTACCCTTTCATCACCTAATTCGCACTGGAAACTAGGTGACAAAACTGAACAGTCAATCCCATTGCACCGGTAAAACTGTGAAAGGAAGCCTGGATTGTGTCTTCCAACTCGATTGCACGAAACTGCAAATCGTGTAGGTAATTCGAAATGGATTCATTTCATATATATCTAAGAACACATTTTTCTGACTCGTCTGCATCCAGACTGTCAATACAAACAAATTACACAAACAATGTAGCATCACACAGTCAAGAAATATATTGGAAAATCTGAAGAAAAAAAACTCCTAGATTGTATTACTGCAATTGAACAAGCAGAATTATTCACTGGGCACTGATCTAGTAGTAGTTTAAAGATGACAAATTACGATGTCGAGTATGACGTAATCAATATGGAATACAACTCTAGACAGGAAATATCCGAACAGGGCGTAATGTATTCAAGTCACTGGTATTAAAATTATATTTTGATACTTCTAGGTAGATTCACTTCAATTAAATAGATATCTAAATCTTATTTAGCACACAAATCTCTGTGTGTACGAACTGCCGTCACGGTTCCATTTTCAGAAGGCGAGAATTATGTAATATTAAAAAGTTATGCTGTGTCCCGAGGTCCTGCACTGAATCCATTCTTCACTATCACAAACTCACTTGCAACTTCAGATTATCCAACCCAACAATAATAAATTTTACACTCATTAATCAACACGTTATTTGTCTCCCAAAGTAATCGAAACGGGGAATTCATCCTCTGCCTTGCGGCCGTCAGCATTCACCTCTGCCTGCGTATTGGTTGCTTCGCCAGTGTTCCTCCGCCTATCATATTTATTTCCGGAACGGATATTTGAATTGTATCCGGCGGAGTGATCATAATGCTCGAGAGGAGGAGGGGGAGGGTAAATGAAAGGTTGCTGGAACATTCTGAACAGCGTCCCGGAACCCCTTCCGTTGCCTACATAATGGGGATTTTGTGCGTTTGCATAAACCAAAAATTGCATGGCGTTGGGGGGCGCTATCGGCTGGAACTGAGTGTACGTTCCAGTTCGATTCTTCCCACTGTTCTGGAAACTTCCGCCGTGAGAATATCCCACATGTAGTTTATCTGTCTGAGGAAAACCACGTACGGACTTCATCTGGCGGTTGGATTTCTGACTTTGAGCGTTTCCCTTCTCAGTGACGCTGACGTCATCTGACACCTTCGAAGCTTCTCCTTCAGCGAACTCAGTAGGCGGCGTAATTTCTGTCGCACTATTTCTTTTGTCGGAAGATACAGTCGATGCATCGTCCTGCGTGGAAACGTTTGATTTCTTAAAATCTTCTGGGCGAGAACTCGCATCGACAGACTGGAGTGATGTTTGTGATTCATTCGTGTGACCCATACGTTCGCTGACATATTTTTTAGAGTCATTGAAATTGTCTTTGATTTCACCGTTGAAACTTATTTCGTGACCGGAAGTGCTGCCTGTTGATAGAACCTCTCCTCCTTTGCTTTTGTTTGAATTCCGAGACTGCTCGCCGGAGATCACGTGACTTGATCTCTCTACAGGCATCGCTGTCGCTACAGATTCTGTGTTGAGGCTGTAGGGAGTCAATTGTGACTCTCTGGGAGTTGTCATTTCACGAGCGAGTGTCTCGGCAGTTACTGGCTCCGACAGAAACGGATTTTCGCTTGAATTGTTTCCAGGTTCGTTGGCGTTGGAGTTAACTCCTCCGGTACTCTCATTGGTTTCGTGAAATGTGTTAGATTCTGCACTGGAAACTATAATATCGCTTCTGAACATTTTTCCTGTACCAGTCGTGACAGTTTTATTTTCCATTCTGAAATTTACCCTGGAACCTCGGCTCTTTGTTTTAATCGCAACGAAATCTAAATTTTTGTCTGTGGGATTTGTAAAACTGTCATTACCAACAGCATTTTTCGAAATGGTATCAGATTTATTCACATTAGAATGTGGAACTATTTCATCAGAATGGTCCATTTTATGAGAGTCGCTGTTAATTCTGGCCTTGCTCAAAATTGAATCACGAGGCGCATCAAATTCTGCGCTAGTGACTATAACATCGCCTGGGGTCGTTCTGCCTGCGCCAGTCATGCTAACTTCATTACTGGTTTTCGTTGTTGAAGACTCCGTGTAGTTGTCTTGTGGTTCTGGGTAACTTCCGTTATTAACACCCACTTCCGTGGTAATGTCAGCTTCTTGATTCCCCTCGACTTCTGTGTCGAACTTCAGGGACGCTGTCGTCATCATGTCGCTAGAGCCCAAGGACGTGACTGCCGTCTCAGTTTCGTTGTGAAGAGAAGAGTTTCTGTTGCTAAATTCGTTCTTCGGGATGTCGATTGAACGTGGAATTTGCGCTGAATCAATTTTCAGTGGGCTTTGACTTAATCCTTTCTTACTTAAAGTGTTATATGTGCTTGATGCATATGTTTCCTCTGTAAAACTAGGAACTGAGTCTGTCGATTCCTTGTTTAAATTTTTTTCATGTACAGTGTTGTTTCGCCAATCAGTAACAGAAGTCTTAAGATTCATCGTACTTTTTTCGTAAGTAATTATTTTTTTCGGATAGCTGTTTGAATCTCTGTGGATTTCTTGTGTGTTGCCTTTCTGCAATTCCGTGTAATTCCCTGCTTCTTCCGAGCAACTTGAGTTCTTGCAGCTCGTGCCTGCGGTTGAGTTCCCTGAGATGTCTTCCGTGTCATCCGAAGGAGCAGAGCTGTTTGGTCCATTTTCAGGAATTTCACTTGGATCCGTTCCGTTGTTTGTTGGATCATGGACTGCTCTGGAATCTTCATGTTTCGAGTCGCCGATGTTATCAGCTGACCTTGTGTGCAATGTGGAACCCTCTGTCTCTCCAGAAGCGTTGGCACACGGCTGAGCATCCGTGCAGTCGCTGACGCTGACAGACAGAGGCAGTTCTTTGTCTCCCTGCTGCCCTCTAGCTTCCGTCTGATACCTCTGCAGAAGTTTCGCCTTCGCCACGTCGAGTCTCATTTGTTTATCTGTTGTTTCATTTGTTCCCTGCTGCTGTGTTGTTGCCACTGAAGATCGACTCCCTTCAGGACTGGGTGGTTGGAATCCATTCTTGTTTGATTCCGTCGTTAACAACTGCTTGTTTAGGAGGAGGTGATGGTGGTTGGGCACCAACCTTATCTGCTGTGGACCCCAGACTTGCGGTCGGTCTGCGCTCCACCACTGGCCTTGGTTCAACTCCTTCGATAAGCCCGGACGCTGCCCTCCGTTAAAATGGAAATCTTGTCCTTGGGACCAATCCCAAGGAGCGGCTTGCTGATGCACATGCCGCGCCATTTCGCTCTCAGCCTCCATTCCATGTACATCGAAAGTTCCAGCGCTGTTGCTACTCCCCGGCACTCCCTCACTGTAGCTGTTATGGACATAAGGATTTGGTTTCAGAAAAAGCTGGAGGAATGCAATGGATTCACTAGGCTTTTTGGCTTCAAAATCATGCATCTTGCAGGTCAAAGCAGCAGGAGCGAACTTATTCATTGAAGGTGATTCTGAGCTTTTGTCGAAGTTCTGTCCGGATGTGAAGAGGCTCGCACTGCTTGGATGGTACATGGAATTCGGATGTCCTCGATCTGGCAGATGTTGGTTGTTCGAACCATAAAATTGGCTAGGAGGTCCTTCTTGTGCCACAGGATACGCGTTTGTGTTAGCTGCTCTGGCTTTGAGCTCGTCATTTGATGAGACTGCATCTTCCAATGGAGATGGTACCTTGTGTTTTTCTTCTTGATTCTTTATCTTATTCGTCGGTCTATTCTTGGATGGAACGCCTTGAGACTCAACGGCTGGAGGTGCTCCCTCTGGTTTGTTAGCGTCGCCATAATTATAGAATAAGTCGGGAGATGCGTAGAACAAATGATGGGGAGGGGGTGCATAGTAAGTTTTAGAGAGAGGTGGTGTGTAGTATATTTGAGGGGGGAAGGGTGCGTAGTTCGCCTCAGAGGGATGGAAAATGGGAGCGTAATTCGCCTGAGAGGGTGTGAGAAGAGGAGCGTAGTTCGCCTGAGAAGAAGGGGGAATGGGAGCGTAGTTCGCCTGAGAAGAAGGGAGAATGGGAGCGTAGTTCGCCTCAGAGGGATGGAAAAGGGGAGCGTAATTCGCCTGAGAGGGTGGGAGAAGAGGAGCGTAGTTCGCCTGAGAAGAAGGGGGAATGGGAGCGTAGTTCGCCTGAGAAGAAGGGAGAATGGGAGCGTAGTTCATCTGAGGGGGAGCGTAGTTAGCCTGAGAGGGAGGGAGAAAGGGAGCGTAGTTCATCTGAGGGGGAAAGGGGACGTAGTTCATCTGAAAGGGCGGCAGCATGAGATCTGGAAACTGCATGGGGGGCACATGATTTGCGCCTTGTGGAGGTAAACTGTTACCGTCAACTGACTGAATGTTGTGAGCCGGGGGCCAGGGTGATGCAGAGGCGACTTGACGTGGAGGAAGAACTACGAGGGGAGTTGTTGAGTGCGGGGGGCCGGTGTAACGCGCAGTGTTGGTGCCATGGGATGGCCCACGTGCCACACTAATAGGCTCGCAGACCGTCATTGGCACTTCGCCGGGAATTTGCGCAGGGAGCTCGAAGCACATTGCGGCCTCTGGCACGGGCCCCGACTTCTTGGTGCGCAGTCCTCTCGCCAGCTCTTCGTACTGTTGAGTTTCTCCTTTGTCGTTAGAGTTTGGAACGAAGTAAAATTCTGGTGGAATATCAAATTCACTTTTATTCACTGGCTTCTGTTTAGCAGAATCACTAATTTCTACAAACTGACCACTTTCTGAAAATCTGTCGTTCACTTTACCAATTGAAGGAACTATTCCTCGAGTATACAATCCTCGTGAAATGATTAAAATTGTTACCACGACGAACAGATTCCTACAGATAAAATTCATTATGGCACCGTAGCACTCACTACTCACTGAGACTGGCAACGGCAAATGTACACTGATCATTTCATTCAAGTTTTGATGAGTTTTAATGCCTGTTCGGCTGAGGCAGCATTTTCCTGCATTCGTGTCAACGGCCAGTGAACATTGACACAGCAGAAGACACGTGGCATCACCTTAGACTGCTTTCACACGTGAGCCCGTGAGCCACTCAACTGAGCGGCTTGTTTAGCCGGTATGCAGCTCAGAGTTCGGTTCACATGACCCTCTGCTACAGTTACCAACTTCACTCAGTCCCTCCAACAAAATATTTTCATCAAATCATGTTGGAACTTGAAGTCATCATCATAATCTCCATGGTTTAGACTATTATAGACTGTTCCGTCTCCAAGGAATTTTCTGTTCGAGTAAATAGGATTCAGTACTCTGCAGTTAAAATTGGTCATTTCAACGTTTTTTGTGGGCGGCCTCATGTTGGAACTTGAAGTCATCATCATAATCTCCATGGTTTAGACTATTATAGACTGTTCCGTCTCCAAGGAATTTTCTGTTCGAGTAAATAGGATTCAGTACTCTGCAGTTAAAATTGGTCATTCCAACGTTTATGTTTGTATTTATACATTCTTTGTGGAATTCTATTGGCTTCCATTCTCTCTATATGCATTAGCCAATTCCTTCGATGTTCACATATTTTATCCAGCAAGTTAAAAGTTCCTGGTTCGCGTCTAATATCTTCATTTCTTATATGATCTGTTCTTTTATA